ACTCCCACCCCGGCCGGGAAGCCAAAATGGGGTCCCCGCCATCCTCACCTCTGAGCATCGGCTCGGGGCGCGGTATGACCGCCACCACCACGGCCTCATCGTCGTCCTCCCCTTCCTCACACTTGAGTGTCACCTCAAAGCAGTCGAGCGCGGCGCCCTCCGCCCTCAGGGCCATGGCGCGGCCGGCCGGGGGCGACAACGGGGACCAGACTTCGGAAGAACGGCGCGCAAGGCCTCGTTCGGCTGGTGCAGCAAGCGGGCGGCTGCTCCCCACCAGACACCACGCCAGGCCCCGTAGCGCAGGCCCCGCCACGCGCCGCCCGCCCGCTCACTGGCTCGGCCAGCCACAGAACTCAGAAACCCGCGACCCCGGGCGGAGAGGACTCAATCCGGGGCCCCGGGCCCCACCGCTCCCTTTTATAGAGGCTCATTGTCGGTTCCCGCCCGCCAGGCCCGCCCCCTGGCCCTGATTGACCAATCACGAGAGGCCCCACGCAAGCTCCGCCCCCCGGGCACGCGGCGTTGTTAGAGTCTTGGAGACCGCGGGCGGCCGGGTGGCTGGCGTGGCGGGGAGGCCCCTGCTTCCCCGGGCGCGGGCCTCGGGATGGTGGGCCGACTCCACGGAGACAATGCCTTGCTGGGCATTGTTGCTGGTGCGCCGACAGCTAACCGGGGCTCCAGGATTTTTTTTTTTCCTCCCGTGCACGAGCCAGCCAGGAGGTGTCCCAAGGCAGGAAAGGCACTGTGGACAGAGGAAAAGGACCTTAGCCCGGAAGCGCATTCCTTCTGATCTGGCGTCTCCGTGACCTTCAGCAATTTGAATAGCTCATCTTTTCCTCCAAAATGCATTTCGGACCCTTCTGGCAAAGGAATGGAGAATGAAGAGGATGTGACCCAATGGATAGGACTTTGTTGTTGTTGTTGGTGGTGGTGGTACTGAAGTTTGAACTCAGGACTTTACACTTACTAGGCTGTCACCCTACCACTTGAGCCACACATCAGTCCAGCTTTTTGCAGACTACTTTGGAGACAGTTTCTCCCAGACTTTTCTGCGTGGCCTGGTGTGGAAACCAAGATCCTCCCGAACTCAATCTCCTGAGGACCTAGGATTACAGGAGTGAGCCACCAGTGCCTGCCTATGTTTGTTTACTTATTTCTTTGTGTGTTGGCTTGAACTCAGGGCCTTACACTCTCACTTGGCTTTTTTGTTCAAGGCTGGCACTGCACCAGTTGAGCCACAGCCTACTTCTGGCTTTTTTTTTTTTTTTTGGTTGTTAATTGAGGATATGAGGCTCACACATTGCTGGGCCAACCTGGGCAGGAAAGTCAGTAAGACTGGGGCTGGGAAGGTGGCTTAGTGGTAGAGCATGCCTGAGGCCCTGGGTTCGATTCCTCAGCACCACATAAACAGAAAAAGCAGGAAGTGGTGCTGTGGCTCAAGTGGTAGAGTGCTAGCTGAAGAGCTGAGGAACAGTGCCCAGGCCCAGAGTTCAGGCCCACGACCAGACCCAAAAAAAGAAAGTCAATAAGACTCTTAATTAACCGCCCCCCCAAAAAAAAAACAAAACAAAAAAACTGGAAGTGGAGCTGTGACTCAAGTGGTTGAGTGCTAGCCTTCAAGGACAGTACCCAGCCCAAGCTCCATGACTGGCACATACAAAAGTCACCCAGACTTTCCTGCCTGGGCTGTGTTTGAACCACAATCCTCAGATCTCAGACTCATGAATAGCTAGGATTGCAGGTGTGATCTACCGACATCTGACATACTTTTTTTTATAAATGTAAGTCTATAGATTGTATGGCTCTACCCTAGGGCACCCAGCTATCTCAAGAGATTCCCTAGATCATAGTCCAGTTGCCCTGAAAATGCTGTTACAGTCATGCACTGAGTGAACTTTTACTCTGTCACATAAAGTGGGTGCTTCTGCTTCTACAAAGACCTTCAGGAGAGATGTCACTGCAAAAACTGACATTGAAAATCCATCTGATGCCATTGTGTTGGCCAGGTACAGAAGTTCAAGCCTGTAATCCTTGCTACAAAGAAGGCAAAGATCAGGAAGACCATATTCCAGGCCATTCAGGGCAAAATGTTTTTGAGACCTCATCTCAATAATAGCTAGGGGGCTGGGAAGGTGGCTCAGTGGTAGAGCGCATGTCTTGCATGCCAGAGGCCCTGGGTTCGATTCCTCAGCACCACATAAACAAAAAGAAAAAAGCCTGAAGTGGCGCTGTGGCTCAAGTGGTAGAGCACTAGCCTTGAGCTGAAGAGCTGAGGGA